GATTACTGTACACCGAGGCAAGCACGTTTCAAGAATCGAATATCGAAAATCCACGATAAGCAAATCGACACGAAAGGCTCGCACGGGGCGCAGCCCGTCGTCGTCCCTTATAAGGTTGGGAGCTGGAGCGCGAAGTAGGAGCCGTTCAAGGATGACGAACCGGCGTGGGATTCGGCGAGGCCGGCTGAGGCGAGTAAAGGCGAGTAAAGGCGCGCCTACTTGAACGAGCAGCGACGTTAAGTGTCGCCTGTCGCGGGACTTAATGTCTCGGAAAAATGTTATGGCTTCTTTTTTTTTATTTATTTATGTTTTCCCATCTTTTTCTCATTCCTTCCTAGAAGAGGGATAAACCTTGTCGCACCAGGTCCGTACCTCTCGAATGAGGCGCCCCACCTCGTTTCCCCACTACTCGCCACGTAACAAGAGAAAAAGGCTGTTACCGTACACGTCATATACACGTAACCCGCATATCGTGATTTGCGGCCCGCGTGCGTACGGCGTTGGACCAGATCTATACGTGCCGATGAAGGTGGGCATCCGTATGCGCGGGAAAGGGAGAGTACTCACCGACGACGGTCAGGTGAATCCTGGAATTGCGGGTGGGGCTCTTGGTGAAATCGACCCGGCACCGGTACTCGCCCTCGTCCCGCTCCTCGACGTGGTCGATGTTCAGGGCGGCCGGCTCCGTGACCGTGCTGAAGTACGCTCGCTCGTTCAGGTACTCCTTGTCCTTCCAGTGAGAAGACTGCTCGGAGTGTTTTCCTCTCATGTCGTAACTGAAACACGCGCGTGGTACGCCCACATTTTATTCGTCTGCCGGGCACTCCGGGGTCTTCATCGGCACCTCTTTAGTGCCGACGTTCACTTTGGTCGAAGAAAGGAAGAAAAGAAAAAAAAAAAGTGGGCAGGGACGGACGGAACGAAAGAGAGCAAAGGAGATTACCAACCTGGAGGAAGCTGGATTAAAAGTGTCGAGCTTTAAGATAGCAGATTTTATTTTTATCCTCGAATCAGACTTACTTCCGGTTCTCGAAATCACAATGGTCATTCCAGTGCATTCACCCTGCTGGTACCCTTAAGGGTAACTCCCAACTAGAACCACCCGTTCCACCCCCGTACCGTCCCTATCTCCCCCCCCCCCCC